CTGTTGCAGCTTTCGATAAGTTTTTGCATAAACATGGAGATCTTATGGATATGACTGGCATCACGTCTTCCTTCTCACGGTGCGCCGCCTTCCGCACCCTTGGTCTGGTGCTCCATGGGATGAGTACTATGCGATTGCTGGATATCACAGACCATCGACTTCTTTGCTGGCGAGACGCGATTTGTGAATCCATGACCCTAGGCTTCCGGGTAGAGTTTCTTCTGAACTTAGTGAAAGATCTAGCACGTGCCGTATTCGGGGAGCGAGCTACTCACAGCATGGAGTCATTTTCTGGTTCTGAAGACATAAGGGTAGCGGCAGAGGCCCTGGATCTTAAGCAGCGTGAGTTAGAAGATCAACGCAGGGAATTGCGTGCCCTTCTTCTCGTCTAAGGTGTTTCCCCTGATGGTGCTGGCTGTGTGGTGGAAGCAGTAACAAGATCTTCCCACAAGACTTCCACCATTCCTTTCTAACCATCCTCAATGGTCCCGAGGTTTGTGACTTCCTGTCCTTCACTTTTGTTTCATTCTTGTCCAATACCAACCTGTTTTTTTTTCTGACTTTCCCCCGTCTTCTTTTTTTTTATTTCTGTAGGGCGCCTCCTGCTTGGTGTAAGACTGACTGACTTGGCATGTTTCGGGACTTCCTTCAAGATCAAAGAACACATCCCTTTGTAGCTTGTATAGCTTAGTCTGACTTAGGTTATATTTCTTTTTGGGGCACCTTAAAAACTTGTATTGCGGTAGCTTGATGCTGTAGTGTCATTGTGCCCTAGCTGCCGGAACCTACGTTCCCTTTCTTTTTTTGTCAAAGACATATTGTAACTTTTGTTTAGTATATATGTATATGTTGCTTGCCCGGTAGAACTGTTTTGCTTGAGATCTTCTTACAGCTTGGGTATCCTAAAAAGAACAAGGCATATGCTGCCAAAATTTTGGTGGGGGTGGAATTTCTAAATTTTCTTTGCATGGTTGTGTAACAATTAGACCTGAAAACGCCCTCTTGTCATGCCTTGAAAGGGCCAGGCTAGTGTGCATGGTTTTCCCCCAGAATTCCAGATGTTTTGCATTGCTTATTGAGAGGGTACAATGGTTCCATTGCTCCAACTCCTCAAGAATCGCATGCCCTTTTTTGTAATAGCTTGGCTTATGTCATTTTGCTTAGGCGTGATGCTTGTTGATGATTCGGGACCCCATTCGAGTGGCTTTGCTTGGCATGTTTTACTGCTAAGTGGCATGTACATATATATTTTATTATTATTTTTTGTCATTATTTTATATACATACATATACAGATATATAGTACTTGGTGCAAGGTAAGTCTGGTATAATATTTTAGAGACAGATTTTCTTTTTCAAAATATTCCATTTTCATTGCAAAGTTCATGCTACCATAGTGGTGCATCATACAAGGGTTTTCCAAAATACCAAGTGAGAACATAGAAGGAGTCCATATTTAAAATAAAAGGAAATACAATAATAATAAAAAAAAGTGCTGGGCATAAAATGAACTTAGCAGTAGTAGGGCTTGAGCCACTTCCCATTGATGGGGTCCGTTAGCATGCCTTCCTTGACAGAGACCAGGCGATAATAGCCGCTGCTGTAAACTTCTTTTACTGTAAATGGTCCTTCCCATTGCGGGGCGAACTTGGAAGGTCCCGAGACTTGTCTTCTCACATGCTCGACAACTTTTAGCACGAGGTCTCCTTGCTTGAAGGCTTGTGGCTTGACTACCCTGTTGTAAGCTTGGGCGATGGTTTTGTGGTAAAGTGCTGTTCTTCTTTCGGCTTCCATTCTTTTCTCATCCAAAGCCTCGATGTCTAACAAGCGCCATTCTGAGCATGTCTTTGCATCCCATTCGAGGTCATTGACAGCCAATACTCTAGCAGTGGGGATAGTGATTTCAACGGGCGATATGGCATCGGAACAATACACAAGCGAATAGGGTGAGAAACCCGTGGCACCCCTTGGAGAGGTGCGGTAAGCCCATAAAGCATCCGGCAGGTGGACGCTCCAGCCTCCTTCATACTCATACACCATTTTGCTTAGGATTCTCAACAAGGTTTTATTTGTGGCTTCCGCTTGGCCATTTCCTTGCGGGTAGTTGTTGTGTAAATACAGCTGCACCAAAATGGTTTCAACTGCATCCTCAACTTGTGATACTCGCAAGTGCACGAGCCGTTTGGTAGTATAGCATATGTAAGTGCGAGGTCGATCCCACGAGGATTGGTGATTGAATGATCCAATTTGTTTCCCCTACACAAAATAGAAATGAAAAAAGAAAATAAATAAAACAAGAAAGAATGAAATAACTCAAGCAAATAAGTTCCCAAGTTCAATTAGATTAACGGATTGATTCTAGCTAAAGTATGATTAAGCCATGGTGTTTGGTCATAACCTTGTGTTCCTAATTCCCTAATTTGATCATTTGTTGTCTAACCTAAAATTAAGCATTAGGAACCCATTAAGCATAGAAGAACAATTTAAACAACCAAGCATGTATCTAATCCCTGTTGTCGAATGTCCATACATACTCTTC